TCTCTCTCACACACTCACACTCTCTCTCACACACTCACACTCTCTCTCACACACTCACACTCTCTCTCACACACTCACACTCTCTCTCACACACTCACACTCTCTCTCACACACTCACAGTTTGTCGCGGTTTGGGAAAAAAAGGAGAAAACATGACCGAATAAATCGGCGGATATCACATTTTGCGTCAAATTAAAAATGGACTTTTCAATACAGATACAATACTGATTTTGGCGGAAACTCAAAAATTTTTTTTTAAAATTGCGTTTATTGTGTTTTGGAACCAAATTCTTCATATATTTAGCATGTAATTTATACATAATTATTCATATTTCATTTCATATATTCACATATTATTCATAATTTTATTTGCATGTAATATTAAAAAATATTATAAAGAATTTAGAATATAAAAATGATCAATATATATATATATATACAGTGGGGAAAAAAAGTATTAAGTCAGCCACCAATTGTGCAAGTTCTCCCACTTAAAAAGATGAGAGAGGCCTGTAATTTTCCATTCATTGCATTCTGCAGAAAAGGGAGACTGGCGTTTGTCGCGGTTTGGGGAAAAAAAGGAGAAAACATGACCGAATAACTCGGCGGATATCGCATTTTGCGTCAAATTAAAAATTGACTTTTCAATACAGATACAATACTGATTTTGGCAGAAACTCAAATTTTTTTTTTTTAAATTGCGTTTATTGTGTTTTGGAACCAAATTCTTCATATATTTAGCATGTAATTTATACATAATTATTCATATTTCATTTCATATATTATTCATAATTTTATTTGCATGTAATATTAAAAAATATTATAAAGAATTTAGAATATAAAAATGAACAATATATATATATATATAAAAAATTGTGTTAAAGATGCTTTACGCTTGCATATGAACACACACATATATATATACAGTATATATATATAGACATATATTATTTTTCATTATTTTATATTAGACATTTTGATTACATATGAATATATATCACTTCATATATAATTAATTGTCATTATACACACACATCAAATGATACCATTCTATCAATATTATTAATGTATTTACAATAAACTCCATATAGTGTCTGACTGCATTATTTTTCAATATCTTATGCATTATTTGTTATATCATTAAATATATTTTTATTATATATATATATATATATATATATACACAATCCTTTTTTTTGGATGATGGAGTCTTTTTGTTTTGTTTTGTTTTTTAATTAAGAAAAATTCTTGAAGCTTCTGTACTCGATATCAGCTCTTCTTGAACAGTTCAACATCATAAAAAGATGCAAACATATTCTACCTTGAGCTTCTTGCCGTCCATGGTAGTGATTTCAGCTTCCTTGCCGATGGTGAATGAGTTTGTGACGGTTCTTCCAGGGGTTTTGGATGTGATGGTGAAGTCGTTGCCGTTTTGTTGGATTTCAGTCACTGGTTTAACATCCTTGGCCATTTTAATGACATCTTCTGGCAGAGCTGAAAGGAACAGAAGCACAAAGATAGTGAGTGAGCGACCTACAATCATGGCAGGGGATTCAAATGAAATGACTTCAGATGTCTCACAGTTAATTTCCCAAATGCACTGCATGCATAAAAATATACAATGCTTTTGGAAATGCAACCGTGATCATTTCACAGAAACTCACAGATGGCTCTCAGAAACTCCTCGTAGTTCTCCTGTGCGTAAACCTGCCACGTTCCGCTGAAGGCCATGTCTGCTGCTGATCTGACTGCTGGCAAGAGCTCAACACAATGTGAGGAGACATTCATCTCAGACCAGTTCTTATATTCACTATCAGGCCATGCACAGGGGGGTGGCCCGGTGGCTAGAGCCACTGCCCCTCTGCCGTCATTGACTGAGGGGCCCCTCTCACCAACACCCCCCCTCGTTAAAGTTTGTTGCATTAACAGGTAGATGCATTACAGTCCACATTACAGTCAGTGGATGATTCGCTGATTTAGTAATATGGTAGTATGTTTTTGTATTTCTGTCGGTCACTCTTAAAAATAAAGGTGCTTCACGATGCCATAGAAGAACCTTTTTGTCTAAATGGTTCCATAAAGAACCTTTAACTCCTGAAGAAACTTTCTGTTTCACAAAAGGTTCTTTGTGGCGAAAGAAGGTTCTTCAGATTATAAAAAGGTAAGAAAGAGATGGTTCTTTAGAGATAAAGTGCCTTTGGGCACCTTAAAGTGCCCGTTTTTTGGTTTGGGCCACTGCCCCTCAAAATGTCTGTGCGCGGCCCTGCTCACGATGGGTTTAATCATTCACGTTCTGGCAGTTTCCCTGCTGTTTGAACAACCCAGAGTTCGCTAACATCATTTGTGGGGTCGTGCCTCTCTGCAGCTGATTAGGGCATCCAATCTTTTCTTTTAAAAAGAGCATTTGACTTGCATCCATTCATCTATTGAATCTTAAATAGAATTAGAAATCTGTGATGTTCAGTGAAGTCAGAGACTTTGTTTTTATTCATTTTTATTATTCCTCAAGGATGCATTAAATTGATCAAAAGTTACAGTAAAGTAATTTATAATGTCACAAAAGATTTCTATTTCAACTAAATGCTGTTCTGTTGAACTTTCTATTCATCAAAAAATCTTTCAAAAATAAAATGCATCACAGTTTTCACAAAAATTTCGGGCAGCACAACTGTTTTCAACATTGATAATAATCAGAAATTTTTCTTGAGCAGCAAATCAGCATATTAGAATGATTTCTGAAGATCATGTGACTGAAGACTGGAGGAATGATGCTGAAAATTCAGCTGCGCATCACAGAAATCAAGTTTAACAGATACTCAGACAGTTATTTTAAATGGCAAAAATATTTAACAATTTTTTACTGTATGTTTGATCAAATAAATGCAACCTTGGTGAACAGAAGAGACGTCTTTCAAAAACATTAAAATATCTTACTGGATGAAACTGATTTAGTGGGTGATTCTGTGAGATGGATTTAAACATGTTCAATGTTGCTGAAAGCACAACACTTAATTAATAGCTGAATGCATAATCAGATTAACCAAACTATTTCATGAATTCATAAATGAACACACAAGGGATGGATGATGGGGTTTGTGTGCATGTATGAGTTTCCAAACGCTCTAAAAAAGGAATGAACTGCACTAAGTAAACTACTAAATAATAATAATAATAATATATATATATATACACACACACACATATATATAATGCATTAATATTTTTTATCTGACATTGCTCAAATGATGCTCAAAACTACAAAGTTAAAAGAGGAGATGTACTGTGTTATCAACAAAAACAAACATGACAACACCTATGCAAATAATGCACGAGACACAATTTGCACGATTTATTCATGTTGCATGCAGAGTTTAGCATTCTACATTCTGGGAGTGATGTGGAAAACGAACAAGAAAAAATAAATATGGCACTTTGTCAAATGTCAAAAAGGTTGCCAAATCCTGGTCAAGATCCTTTTCTCGCTATGTTTTGCAAAAGAAACCCATTGAAATACTATCCTGTTTAAACACACGAGGGGTGAATGACCCTGTGGACTGTGGAGTTTGCTTTCTATCTGTTCAAAAGAATTACCCTCGGGTTGCATAATGATATTTGAAACGGGCCTCACTCTTTCTATTATGAAATATCAGCAGATAAAACACTCATCCATCCATGTACAAGCATAAAAATTGACCGTGAACCTATTATAATGCAGCTGAAAAGTGTGTTCACAGTCTATTTAATCAAAGTTCGCTGCACACTTGCATTCCCTGATGCTCAAATTTAGCTAAAAATGAAAAAAACTGAGTGGAAACGGTTTCATTTGCACTTTATTCTAGCACAAGTAGCACAAGATAAATCATAAATCAAATCAACTCAGTCTTCAGGCTTTCAGGACACTGACCTTTAGGACATTGCCGTCTACAGCACCAATAAAGGAATAGTTCACCCAAAAATGAAAATTAGCTGTAAATGTCCTCACCCTCAGGCCATCGGAGATGTAGACGAGTTTGTTTCTTCATCAGATTTGGAGAAATGTAGTATTGCATCACTTGGATGCTCTGCAGTGAATGGGTGCCGTCAGAATGAGAGTCCAAACAGCTGATAAAAACATCACAATAATCCACAAGTAATCCACACCACTCCAGTCCATTAGTTAACATCTGGAGAAGACAAAAGCTGAAACAAATCCAGCATTAAGACGTTTTTAAACTAAAGTCCATAACCCATAATAACGCTTCCTCCCGTGAAAAAGTGTTCTGGTGTGAATCAGGAGAGAAATCTGCACAGATCAAGCAGCGTTTAAACAGCTCTAAACAAATCTGTGGCTGGATTTTGATGTGAGAGACAACAGCAGATGCACTTTTTCACTGGAGGAAGCGTTATTATATCAGAATCAGAATTAGCTTTATTCACCAGGTGTGCGCAAACACACAAGGAATTTGTTGTGTTTTTTAAAGGTGCTCCTGGTACATACATACATACATACATACATATCTGACATGAGAACAGAAAAACATTTAAATAGTAAGACTTAACCATAAATAATAATAATGTGTATGAATCTGGAACAGTAGATTTATGTATTTGAGAACATGTAATCAAAAATGAAGAATATTTCAATCATGACAACTCTCAGAATAGCTTTAGCATGTTAATGGATATGACAACATGAATTTGGTCTTGGCAGACTAGACCTGCTATGCAATCTGCTGCTGAATGGACTTGCTACTGCCAATAGATACACAGACACACTGCTATGAGCATGTAAGATATACTGCTGCTGCATGAAAAGGCATAAATAAATCCCATAGCATATCTACAAAGGTGGTGCTGGGGGAGGTGGAAGGGTTTTGAGGAACTAGCTTTTAGCAAACACTGAACTAAACTATGTAAATGATGAGCAAGCAATCTAATTGGCTGCAAAATCAGCAGAGACCAATCAGTTTATGCCATGTAGTAAATTATGTGGTTGCTAGCAGATTGCACGCAAACGACATATCAGTCTATGCCGTCTAGAGTTTCCTGACTGAACTAGATATTTTTACAAACTTTTTTTTTTTTTTTTTTACCTTTTCTTGAGTCTCTAAAGTCATGGGGTCAATTTTACGAATGTAATTGGTCTCAGATGTAGCATGGTAGTCACTTCCATATTTGATTATGTTATTGGCGCAGTTGTCAGTGAAGTCTGGTATGGTGTGGCTGAGGAAAGTTATCACTCTGAAAAGGGAGTTAAAAAGAACACAATTTATTCACAATTAACAATATGCTTATGTTTTTTCTTCTTCTTCCTGAATCAATTGCATCAGACAGTAATGTTACTTACTTGGAGAATATATTTTTACATGGGTCTGGGTACGCCATGGTCCCCATCTCTGACACCACTATTCTGTTGGCCTGCATGTTGGAGTTGTAGGTGTCACCTTGAAGATACTTGCTTCTATACGTCACCTCTCCTGAAAATTAAACAATAAATCAATATATTCATGTGGATCACTGAACTAACAAAACCCTCAGGACAGTAGAAACGTACATAAAAGCCTGAATGACAATAAAGTAAATACCTTTTTTTATTGTGAAACTGTGCAAAAGTGCCATTCCATCAAACCAATGGTTGTATCTCGTCTCTCCCAAAGAGAAGAGGCCAGGTCCATTGCGTATAAGCGTGCCCTGCAGCCATTCAGGAATCAAGCCTGCAGAGATAAAACACATTTAAACTATTTTAAGTGGAGCATTTGGGTATAATTGACTGCTTATGTCCACTTCTCTGTCCAAAGTCCAAACCATCTTCTATTAAGCTCACAGAACTCTTCACAAAGACAACAAATGGATAAAGATCTCCTCCACAAGCACTTAACCAGAACCATATATATATATATATATATATATATATATATATATATACACACACAATCCTTTTTTTTGGATGATGGAGTCTTTTTGTTTTGATTTGTTTTGTTTTTTAATTAAGAAAAATTCTTGAAGCTTCTGTACTCGATATCAGTTCTTCTTGAACAGTTCAACATCATAAAAAGATGCAAACATATTCTACCTTGAGCTTCTTGCCGTCCATGGTAGTGATTTCAGCTTCCTTGCCGATGGTGAATGAGTTTGTGACGGTTCTTCCAGGGGTTTTGGATGTGATGGTGAAGTCGTTGCCGTTTTGTTGGATTTCAGTCACTGGTTTAACATCCTTGGCCATTTTAATGACATCTTCTGGCAGAGCTGAAAGGAACAGAAGCACAAAGATAGTGAGTGAGCGACCTACAATCATGGCAGGGGATTCAAATGAAATGACTTCAGATGTCTCACAGTTAATTTCCCAAATGCACTGCATGCATAAAAATATACAATGCTTTTGGAAATGCAACCGTGATCATTTCACAGAAACTCACAGATGGCTCTCAGAAACTCCTCGTAGTTCTCCTGTGCGTAAACCTGCCACGTTCCGCTGAAGGCCATGTCTGCTGCTGATCTGACTGCTGGCAAGAGCTCAACACAATGTGAGGAGACATTCATCTCAGACCAGTTCTTATATTCACTATCAGGCCATGCACAGGGGGGTGGCCCGGTGGCTAGAGCCACTGCCCCTCTGCCGTCATTGACTGAGGGGCCCCTCTCACCAACACCCCCCCTCGTTAAAGTTTGTTGCATTAACAGGTAGATGCATTACAGTCCACATTACAGTCAGTGGATGATTCGCTGATTTAGTAATATGGTAGTATGTTTTTGTATTTCTGTCGGTCACTCTTAAAAATAAAGGTGCTTCACGATGCCATAGAAGAACCTTTTTGTCTAAATGGTTCCATAAAGAACCTTTAACTCCTGAAGAAACTTTCTGTTTCACAAAAGGTTCTTTGTGGCGAAAGAAGGTTCTTCAGATTATAAAAAGGTAAGAAAGAGATGGTTCTTTAGAGATAAAGTGCCTTTGGGCACCTTAAAGTGCCCGTTTTTTGGTTTGGGCCACTGCCCCTCAAAATGTCTGTGCGCGGCCCTGCTCACGATGGGTTTAATCATTCACGTTCTGGCAGTTTCCCTGCTGTTTGAACAACCCAGAGTTCGCTAACATCATTTGTGGGGTCGTGCCTCTCTGCAGCTGATTAGGGCATCCAATCTTTTCTTTTAAAAAGAGCATTTGACTTGCATCCATTCATCTATTGAATCTTAAATAGAATTAGAAATCTGTGATGTTCAGTGAAGTCAGAGACTTTGTTTTTATTCATTTTTATTATTCCTCAAGGATGCATTAAATTGATCAAAAGTTACAGTAAAGTAATTTATAATGTCACAAAAGATTTCTATTTCAACTAAATGCTGTTCTGTTGAACTTTCTATTCATCAAAAAATCTTTCAAAAATAAAATGCATCACAGTTTTCACAAAAATTTCGGGCAGCACAACTGTTTTCAACATTGATAATAATCAGAAATTTTTCTTGAGCAGCAAATCAGCATATTAGAATGATTTCTGAAGATCATGTGACTGAAGACTGGAGGAATGATGCTGAAAATTCAGCTGCGCATCACAGAAATCAAGTTTAACAGATACTCAGACAGTTATTTTAAATGGCAAAAATATTTAACAATTTTTTACTGTATGTTTGATCAAATAAATGCAACCTTGGTGAACAGAAGAGACGTCTTTCAAAAACATTAAAATATCTTACTGGATGAAACTGATTTAGTGGGTGATTCTGTGAGATGGATTTAAACATGTTCAATGTTGCTGAAAGCACAACACTTAATTAATAGCTGAATGCATAATCAGATTAACCAAACTATTTCATGAATTCATAAATGAACACACAAGGGATGGATGATGGGGTTTGTGTGCATGTATGAGTTTCCAAACGCTCTAAAAAAGGAATGAACTGCACTAAGTAAACTACTAAATAATAATAATAATAATATATATATATATACACACACACACATATATATAATGCATTAATATTTTTTATCTGACATTGCTCAAATGATGCTCAAAACTACAAAGTTAAAAGAGGAGATGTACTGTGTTATCAACAAAAACAAACATGACAACACCTATGCAAATAATGCACGAGACACAATTTGCACGATTTATTCATGTTGCATGCAGAGTTTAGCATTCTACATTCTGGGAGTGATGTGGAAAACGAACAAGAAAAAATAAATATGGCACTTTGTCAAATGTCAAAAAGGTTGCCAAATCCTGGTCAAGATCCTTTTCTCGCTATGTTTTGCAAAAGAAACCCATTGAAATACTATCCTGTTTAAACACACGAGGGGTGAATGACCCTGTGGACTGTGGAGTTTGCTTTCTATCTGTTCAAAAGAATTACCCTCGGGTTGCATAATGATATTTGAAACGGGCCTCACTCTTTCTATTATGAAATATCAGCAGATAAAACACTCATCCATCCATGTACAAGCATAAAAATTGACCGTGAACCTATTATAATGCAGCTGAAAAGTGTGTTCACAGTCTATTTAATCAAAGTTCGCTGCACACTTGCATTCCCTGATGCTCAAATTTAGCTAAAAATGAAAAAAACTGAGTGGAAACGGTTTCATTTGCACTTTATTCTAGCACAAGTAGCACAAGATAAATCATAAATCAAATCAACTCAGTCTTCAGGCTTTCAGGACACTGACCTTTAGGACATTGCCGTCTACAGCACCAATAAAGGAATAGTTCACCCAAAAATGAAAATTAGCTGTAAATGTCCTCACCCTCAGGCCATCGGAGATGTAGACGAGTTTGTTTCTTCATCAGATTTGGAGAAATGTAGTATTGCATCACTTGGATGCTCTGCAGTGAATGGGTGCCGTCAGAATGAGAGTCCAAACAGCTGATAAAAACATCACAATAATCCACAAGTAATCCACACCACTCCAGTCCATTAGTTAACATCTGGAGAAGACAAAAGCTGAAACAAATCCAGCATTAAGACGTTTTTAAACTAAAGTCCATAATCATCTCAGACCAGTTCTTATATTCACTATCAGGCCATGCACAGGGGGGTGGCCCGGTGGCTAGAGCCACTGCCCCTCTGCCGTCATTGACTGAGGGGCCCCTCTCACCAACACCCCCCCTCGTTAAAGTTTGTTGCATTAACAGGTAGATGCATTACAGTCCACATTACAGTCAGTGGATGATTCGCTGATTTAGTAATATGGTAGTATGTTTTTGTATTTCTGTCGGTCACTCTTAAAAATAAAGGTGCTTCACGATGCCATAGAAGAACCTTTTTGTCTAAATGGTTCCATAAAGAACCTTTAACTCCTGAAGAAACTTTCTGTTTCACAAAAGGTTCTTTGTGGCGAAAGAAGGTTCTTCAGATTATAAAAAGGTAAGAAAGAGATGGTTCTTTAGAGATAAAGTGCCTTTGGGCACCTTAAAGTGCCCGTTTTTTGGTTTGGGCCACTGCCCCTCAAAATGTCTGTGCGCGGCCCTGCTCACGATGGGTTTAATCATTCACGTTCTGGCAGTTTCCCTGCTGTTTGAACAACCCAGAGTTCGCTAACATCATTTGTGGGGTCGTGCCTCTCTGCAGCTGATTAGGGCATCCAATCTTTTCTTTTAAAAAGAGCATTTGACTTGCATCCATTCATCTATTGAATCTTAAATAGAATTAGAAATCTGTGATGTTCAGTGAAGTCAGAGACTTTGTTTTTATTCATTTTTATTATTCCTCAAGGATGCATTAAATTGATCAAAAGTTACAGTAAAGTAATTTATAATGTCACAAAAGATTTCTATTTCAACTAAATGCTGTTCTGTTGAACTTTCTATTCATCAAAAAATCTTTCAAAAATAAAATGCATCACAGTTTTCACAAAAATTTCGGGCAGCACAACTGTTTTCAACATTGATAATAATCAGAAATTTTTCTTGAGCAGCAAATCAGCATATTAGAATGATTTCTGAAGATCATGTGACTGAAGACTGGAGGAATGATGCTGAAAATTCAGCTGCGCATCACAGAAATCAAGTTTAACAGATACTCAGACAGTTATTTTAAATGGCAAAAATATTTAACAATTTTTTACTGTATGTTTGATCAAATAAATGCAACCTTGGTGAACAGAAGAGACGTCTTTCAAAAACATTAAAATATCTTACTGGATGAAACTGATTTAGTGGGTGATTCTGTGAGATGGATTTAAACATGTTCAATGTTGCTGAAAGCACAACACTTAATTAATAGCTGAATGCATAATCAGATTAACCAAACTATTTCATGAATTCATAAATGAACACACAAGGGATGGATGATGGGGTTTGTGTGCATGTATGAGTTTCCAAACGCTCTAAAAAAGGAATGAACTGCACTAAGTAAACTACTAAATAATAATAATAATAATATATATATATACACACACACACATATATATAATGCATTAATATTTTTTATCTGACATTGCTCAAATGATGCTCAAAACTACAAAGTTAAAAGAGGAGATGTACTGTGTTATCAACAAAAACAAACATGACAACACCTATGCAAATAATGCACGAGACACAATTTGCACGATTTATTCATGTTGCATGCAGAGTTTAGCATTCTACATTCTGGGAGTGATGTGGAAAACGAACAAGAAAAAATAAATATGGCACTTTGTCAAATGTCAAAAAGGTTGCCAAATCCTGGTCAAGATCCTTTTCTCGCTATGTTTTGCAAAAGAAACCCATTGAAATACTATCCTGTTTAAACACACGAGGGGTGAATGACCCTGTGGACTGTGGAGTTTGCTTTCTATCTGTTCAAAAGAATTACCCTCGGGTTGCATAATGATATTTGAAACGGGCCTCACTCTTTCTATTATGAAATATCAGCAGATAAAACACTCATCCATCCATGTACAAGCATAAAAATTGACCGTGAACCTATTATAATGCAGCTGAAAAGTGTGTTCACAGTCTATTTAATCAAAGTTCGCTGCACACTTGCATTCCCTGATGCTCAAATTTAGCTAAAAATGAAAAAAACTGAGTGGAAACGGTTTCATTTGCACTTTATTCTAGCACAAGTAGCACAAGATAAATCATAAATCAAATCAACTCAGTCTTCAGGCTTTCAGGACACTGACCTTTAGGACATTGCCGTCTACAGCACCAATAAAGGAATAGTTCACCCAAAAATGAAAATTAGCTGTAAATGTCCTCACCCTCAGGCCATCGGAGATGTAGACGAGTTTGTTTCTTCATCAGATTTGGAGAAATGTAGTATTGCATCACTTGGATGCTCTGCAGTGAATGGGTGCCGTCAGAATGAGAGTCCAAACAGCTGATAAAAACATCACAATAATCCACAAGTAATCCACACCACTCCAGTCCATTAGTTAACATCTGGAGAAGACAAAAGCTGAAACAAATCCAGCATTAAGACGTTTTTAAACTAAAGTCCATAACCCATAATAACGCTTCCTCCCGTGAAAAAGTGTTCTGGTGTGAATCAGGAGAGAAATCTGCACAGATCAAGCAGCGTTTAAACAGCTCTAAACACATATGTGGCTGGATTTTGATGCGAGAGACAACAGCAGATGCACTTTTT